AAACCCGGTTTTTTTTTCCCCCCCCCCCCCCCCCGCCTCAGCTCTCTTATTTGTAAAACAGGAAGAGTCTTCCAGATCCCAACTTCTGGGATAAAGACACAGGGAATGGAGAAACGGCAAGTTTTTTTTAAAGCTATAAATTAGCCTGGGTAGTCCTGGAAAAACTGGGGTGTTCTGAAGAACACCTCAAAACCCACCGTCCCATCGAAACAAATGAACCAAAGATTATTTTTTCTGCTTTCCCATGAGAAAAACAAACTGGTCCCCAATTCTAACAATTTTTTTCTTTCCAAGTTTTAAAATTTGCCTTGGCTTTTTACCCAGCATTGGAGTAAAACAACCAGCGACCTCAAAGATGGACTGAAATCTCAGCCCCTCCTTCTCACGGGAGAACGTGAGAACAAACCACTCGCCTTGCACTCTTATTAAAGGAAGCAGATCTCCTAGAAGAAAGCACCTTTCTGGGCCTCTCGGACCAAACCAGAAGCAGCTGAAATCTGGCAGCGGTTCAAAGGTGAAGTCATTCATGCCCCTCTACATTCTAGGCAATTCCTCCGCCAGCCTTGCGCGTGTCTACCACTAGATGGCAGCACAGCCCCAGCAAGGAAGGCTCCTCACAAAGGGCTCAGTTCACGAAGGCAGTCTTAGCCCCGTGCACTTTTGTGCAGGGCCTGCCAGTAAGGAGGGGGAGGGGGCGAGAAGAGGGGGCCCCTTTTCTAAACAGTGCAGAGAAAGGTGTGCGAACCACTGAAACGTGGGCCTCGGAGCTGCTCTACCATTCCAGTGCTGCTGCAATATGACTGTCTTACGTATAAGGCTGGAGAAAAAAAGAGTTAGATTGGCTGGGCGAAAAAAGAGTTAGATTGGGAGGGAAAAAAGAGTTAGCTTGGGTGGGAAAAAGCAGGCAGAAAACCATAGTCAAGATAGGACCCCTGGGGTTGTACAGAGATCACAATCCCACTGGGGCTAGAAACCCAGACCTCAGACTCCTCCAATAAAAGGCCAAATTTTGACTTTGCTCAAAAGTCGGTGCGCTGATATTTAGTGAACCGCTACTATGTGTAGGTATCTTGAGATTTTATAGACACATAAGACATTACCTTTGAACCCACATTCTTGAGACACACCGTAACTCATTTCTACCATGTGAATACATTCTTATAATGTAAGTCAGACTATTTTCTCAGAGTTTAGTGTTTGAAAATTTGTAATTGAAGTATTATCACTGTTAATTAAAACATTCCATGTTTCCCCTACACACACATACAAACACAATTGCAAATGAATTTCACCAACACAAATCTCCATGAGGATCTTATTCATGGATGTAGCCTTGATGCTTAGCAGAGTCCCTGGCACACAGTAGGAACACAAAAAATAGACAGTTATCTCCTATTAAAGAGATAAGTGTGAAAATCCGGGTGGTGGGATACATTTGGATCCTAAGATTTTGTTTTCAATGTGGTGGGTAGGGTGCATATTGTCAGGAGAGAGGGAGGAGGAAAGAGCAGAAAAGGAGCAAGGGGTCAGTCATTTTTACCAGCAGCTCCTGAGGCTTGATGGAGTTGTCGGTGTAAATGCACAACTTCTCAGCGGTCAGCGGGATGGTCTCTTTCAGCTTGGAGGCCAAGAACATGCAGACAGCACCCAGGAGCTGAAGGTGGGACTTGGGAGTTGGGACCCCAGCCAAGAAACGGTCCAGGTAATTCATGGCCAAAGGGAAGACCTCCTCTTCACACTTCTGTTCCTCACAGACCTACAATGGGAGTGGGAAAGAGTTGGGGGGAGAGAAAATAGTATCAGAAAAAGAGAAAAGCGATGAGAAAGCACAATTTGCAGAAACAAAAAGAAAAAATTAATTTTTTGTGGGGCGGGGGAAGGGAGTAGAATGTGTGATACGAATAAACGTGAGCTCAGTGGGGCAAATGTAAATAGCCCCTCGGCGCCCGGTGTTCCCGGGCCGCCTAAAGAGGGGGTGGGCTGCGGAGCGGAGCGGGGAGCCGACCCCGCGCAGCCGCCGCAGCCGCGCCCGCGCGCTCTGGCTGCTCGCTGCTCCGCGCACGGCGACTCACTCGCTCTCTTTTTTGGATTTCGTCATCTTTTCAAAAAATCAATAAAAATATTCTGGAGGCTCCGGGGGTCTACTTCTTGGTCCCATCCGGACCTCCAGACTCTGCTCTATCATTCCCGACAATTGGAAAAAATGTCCGGGGTGGTCCCTGCGGTCCAGGGGCCGCTTTTGGAGGGGTGGGTGGGGAGAGGTGGGGAAGAGGGGGGAGGGTGGACGGGAGGAAGAGCGCCGAGCCTCAGCGTCTGGAGCTGGAGCAGGGGGGGACGGATTCAAAAAATAATTAAAAATCGAGGAAATACCCCAGAAAAGCCCTTTTGGCCTGAAAACCCCAAAGAGGATCCAGGCTTCCCGTAACCGAGGTTTCGGGTGCCAGAAAGGTCTGTATCTGGACCCCTGGGGCTTTGGATCCCCGGGGAAACTTAGAGGGGTGAGAGCCCCGGCGGGAGTGTCCGGCTGCGGCCCACAAGGGCACCAGCCAGGGAACGTGGTGACGAGCTGGGGAAAGACGGGGACAGGGAGCCCTGGAGAGAGGCACGGGGGGCTCTGGCCCCTCATTGAGGGGTGCCCCGGTATCCCCCCCTGCACGCACCTCCTCCCCCCCTTTCTACCCCACCCAAATCTCCGCACCGAGGAAGCTGGAAAGCCAAACCGTGAGTAACCTCCACGAGGTGGGGGTTGGGGGAGAGGGCACGACTAGAAGAGGGGTGGCGGGGTAATGGGGTGCGAGGGGGAGCGGGGACGTTCTCCAGCCTTTCCAACTGGAGTTTGCAAAGCAACATGGCGAAACCACGGCAGGTCCGGAGCTGTGCATACGTGGGCACACAGCTCTCTCGGCAAAGATTTGGGGCAAGGGTAAAAAAGTGGTTCTTCTGGGTTCCCCTAAAACACAAGTTTCTTCGGTGTGACTTCCGGGGCTCCTGAATTCCCCGTTTCTCTCCTCCTCCCTCCTCCCGTGTCCCTCCCCCTCCCCCCTGAAGTGCCAACGCGGAGTCGCGACCACATGCGGGGACCTGAGGCTAGGGCAAATTCGCTCCGGCCTTTTGGGGGGCTGCCTTTTTCCTGAGGGCCCCGATTTCACGCTCCTATTCCTTTCTCTGCCGCACCGAAAGCAGCCGCCGCTTCGCAAAGACAGGTCGGGACGAGGGTGGGAAGGAGAGGAAGCCACATGCAGGCACGCGCGCGGGATGCGCCCCCACCCCGCCCCAGCTCAGCCGCGTTTCCCCCAGACTTTCCTCCCCTTCTCCCCTCCCCCCGCCGATCTGGCAAGGAACGGAGATGAAGCCACCGTCCCACCCAAGGGCGCGCGGTAACCTCCAGCTCGGGAGCTGGGAGGCCTGCGCGGGGGGTGCCCTGCCCCAGTTCGGGGGTTCCTGCGTAGGGGGCCGAGGCTCCTAGGGGTCGTCGCCTGCAGACCTACCTCCAGCATCCAGGTGGCCACCATCCTGCGCATGTAGGGCTGGATGTCCTTCTGCACGCACTTGAAGTAGGAGCACTGCGGCAGGTAGCGCTCCTCGATGGTGAGCAGGTTCTGCAGGACGCGGTCGTCGTAGAGCAGGTTGCGGTCCCGCACGGCCCTGCGGACCGGGTCCACCTCGCAGCACAGGAGCTCCATGGCCAGCCGCGCCGCCACTCGCCCCCACACTTTCTCCGGACTGGAAAAAGTTTTGGTTTTTTGGAAGGGGAAGGGAGAGGGTTCCCCTTACCTCCTCCCTTTGGCTAAATAGGCGGTTTTCGGGGAAAGGTTCGGGCAGAGAGAGAAGCGGGAGGCGAGAGAGGAAGGGCTGGGCGGTGGGCGAGCGGAGCCTCGCGGGCGCCTGCCTCGCACCGGTCCTCCCCTTCGCACTCGTCTCGCTCTCCCCGGCTCGCTCTGTGTCTGAGGCAGTGACGCAAGCTGGCTGGGCAGTTACTTCTCCGCGCCCTGACTCGCTCCCCCCTCCGGTTCCTCCTCCCTCCCCTCCCCTCCCGCCCCTCCCGCCC